CTGTTTTCAAGCTGCTGATACATACCCGAAACTGGGCAATTTATAAGAAAAAGAGGTTTAATGAGGGGAGGCCTCATAATCATGGCAGAAGGTAAAAGGCACGTCTTACATGGCAGCAGACAGGAGAGAATGAGAGAGCCAGGTGGAAGGGGTTTTCCCTTATAAAACCATCAGATCTCATGAGACTCATTCAATACCATGAGAACAGTATAGGGGAAACCACCCCCGTGATTCGGTTATCTCCCACTGGGTCCCTCCCACAACACAAGGGAATTATGGGAGCTACAATTCAAGATGAGATTTGGGTGGGGACACAGGCAAACCATATCACTGTAGTATGAAGTGCCTTGGCTGTGTGGCAGTTGGGCAGAGCTGAAGGAAGATGACACCTCTTGGAAAGGATGATGTGTCTGTCCTGATGAATGAGTCCTGAGAGCCCTTCTCAGTGGATACAGGCATGAGCTTGTGTTGTTTCCTTCACTAACGTAAAAGGAGGACTACTAGAGAGACCAGGATGAAAGCAGGCAGGGGAGGGCTTGGAGAGGACTTCTAATTTGCTAAGCATCAATGTTTCCTCTTTGCTGTTGTGCTGGGGCAGAAGTGTTCTCCTCTCCCCACCTCACTTTGCCACCAAATAATCCGGGAGTTCCTGTGTTCTAATCTCTCTACTGTTGCAGTGATTTCTCCTGGCAACTTCAATAATTACCTGAAGTCTTTTTATTGATTGATTGATTGATTGATTGAGATGGAGTCTTGCTCTGTCGTCCAGCCTGGAGTGCAGTGGCGCAATCTTGGCTCACTGCAACCTCCGCCTCCTGGGTTCAGGCAATTCTCCTGCCTCAGCCTCCTGAGTACCTGGGACCACAGGCACATACCATCACACCCGGCTAATTTTTGTATTTTTAGTAGAGATGGGATTTCACCATATTGGCCAGGCTGGTCTCAAACTCCTGACCTCAGGTGATCCACCTGCCTTGGCCTCCCAAAGTTCTGGGATGACAGGTGTGAGCCACCACACCCAGCCACCTTCAGTAATTTCAGTAAAGCTTAGTTCTGTATTCCCAAGTTCACTAGCATGGATCATATAAATGAATTAAAGGAACACACAGTTAAGAAACAAATTCCATGTACTAGGTATGTGAGCAAACAACAAAAGTGTGGGGGGCAAGGCCCTTGGCCCCTGGAGGTTTGCTGAAAATCACCTGCATGAGGCTGATTAATTAGAGAGAAGGCATGTAAATGTATTTAACATGTATACACAGGAGCCTTCAGCATGAAGACCCAAAGATCCAGGGGAAATTGTCCATTTTTATTTCGTGCTTGGGCTTAACAAAGTATGGAGAGCTATGGAGAAACAGGGATAAAAAGGGCCTGATCGAATGCTGATAGACTGGGGAAACCCAGCAAGGCCTGTCTGTCTAGATCCTTCCTGGTCTCTCTGAGCAGCATTCCTTTCTCCTGGATGTGGGGCAGGACCCTCTGGAATGGGGGTCTTATGACCTACAGTCAAACAAAATAGATCGAATAACCTTTTTTTTTTTTTTTTGAGATGGAGTCTGGCTCTGTTGCCCAGGCTGGAGTGCAGTGGCGCAATCACTGCAACCTCCGCCTCCCGAGTTCAAATGATTCTCCTGCCTCAGCCTCCCGAGTAGCTGGGATTACAGGCGCCCACTACCACGCCCGGCTAATTTTTGTATTTTTAGTAGAGACGGGATTTTACCATGTTGGCCAGGCTGGTCTCAAACTTCTGACCTCGGGTGATCCTCCCACCTCAGCCTGCGCCCAGCCTGAAGAATATGTTTTTTTTGAGACGGAGTTTCACCCTTGTTGCCCAGGCTGGAATGCAGTGGCACAATCTTGGCTCACTTGAACCTCCGCCTCCCAGGTTCAAGCGATTCTCCTGCCTCAGCCTCCTGAGTAGTGGGCGCCACTATGCCCGGCTAATTTTGTATTTTTAGTAGAGACGGTTTCTCCATGTTAGGCTGGTCTTGAACTCCCGACCTCAGGTGATCCGCCCGCCCAAGCCTCCCGAAGTGCTGGGATTACAGGTGTGAGCCACCACGTCCAGCCAAGAATTTCTTTATAACCAATTTTTACACAGAAAGGCGGAGGGAAAGTTAGAGTCATATTTTTAGGTTTTGTGGCTGGCTTTGGGGAGAAGGAGTTCTGGTTTCTATGCCCGGCTTTGGGGAAGAGGGATTCTATGGTGCCTCCAGGACAATGGACCGAGAGAGGGAGGCAGGAGAAGGTCAGAGGAAAACTTTTGCATCTGAGGCTGTTGCTGAGGCCATTTGGGGGCACTGTTTTCTGAGCCCCAACAAAAGCTAGACACAGTTCCAATCTGTCAGCCCTTTCTCCCAAGGCATGCTATGCCTGAGCTGGCATGTGGGGACTCGGAAGTTTGAGGCACAGTTGTGCCAAGTCCTATCTGATCCCAGAGAGCCCATGAGCAAGACTGGGTTTCAGGAGGCGGCCCTATGGGAAGAGCCCGGCCTGTGGACTCTGGGCGTTACTTAACTCCTCTGCCTCAGTTACCTCAGCTTCAAAACGGGGGTTTAGAACAACCAGTGCTTCCTAGAAGTGCCACAAGGCTTCAGTGACTGAATTCATGCAGTGTTTGGCACGGTCCTGGATTCTGGGTAGGAAGTGCTTGCTGGATGTTGGCGGGAGCCATCCTCCCCACCAGCAGAGCAGCATCTCTCACTGTCCCTGTTCTGCCCCATTCGAAGCAGGGGCTTCTGGCTGGGTGTGGTGGCTCATGCCTGTAATCCCAACACGTTGGGAGGCCGAGGCAGGTGGATTATCTGAGGTCAGGAGTTCGAGACCAGCCTGGCCAATATGGTGAAACCCCATCTCTACTAGAAATACAAAAATTAACCAGGCATGGTGGCACGTGCCTGTAGTCCCAGCTACTCAGGAGGCTGAGGCAGAAGAACTGCCTGAACCCGGGAGGCGGAGCTTGCAGTGAGCCGAGATTGTGCCACTGCACTCCAGCCTGGGCGACAGAGTGAGACTGTCTCAAAAAAAAAAAAAAAAAAGCAGGGGCTTCTGTCCTCATGGTTTAGTCCCGTGTGAGGAGGAAAGAACCTTACCATTCTGTTCTAGTTTCAGCGGCCTTATCCCAGGTTTAAATAATCACATCGTCCTTCTGGCTGAGTTCTGATCAACATCGGGATCTTTTGGTTCATGATATGTTTTTGAGACAAAACTGCCTGAGTGCGTTCAGGCTACTGTAACAAAACACCAGAGACCAGGCAGCTTATCAACAACAGAAATGTGTTTCTCACAGTTCTGGAGACTGGAAGTCCAAGATCGAGGTGCCAGCAGATTCCATGGCCAGTGAGGGCCTGCTTCCCCGTTCACAGATGGCCATCTTCTCACTGTGTGTCCTCACGTAGTGGAAGGGATGAGGGAGCCTCTGGGGTCTCCTTTCACAAGGACACTCCTCTCACCTTACCTCTCAAAGCTCCATCTCCTAACATCATCACCTTGTGGGTTAGGATATCAACGTATGAACTTGGGGCGGCTGAGGGGCACACATTGAGTCCATTGCAAAAATATACCCAAGCTGTGAGCACTGGCCTTTGTTGTCAAGGGGAGGAAAACACAAGGAAGGTTCCCCTCCGCAGACTGAAGTCTGAGTCACAGAACCTGAAGAAACACATGCGCTTCCCTCTCTAGGCTGACTCTTAGACTTGTCCCATTTTCCACTTTTTTCAATCTCTAATGTATGCACAACAGATGCTTGAGTTAAATTGAATGGTGTTGAATGCTCTCTGGATAATGGCTTTTTTTTTTTTTTTTTAAACCAGACTTTTGGAACACCTAGTTGAAAAAGAGAGAGAGTACCAGAATCTTCTGCGGCAAACTCTAGAACAGAAAACTCAAGAATTGTATCACCTTCAGTTAAAATTAAAATCAAATTGTGAGTCATTTTCCACTTGCTCTTAGGTGTGTTTGTGGGAGAGACAAACTTTAAAATCTAGCTAATATTCTAGTTAGCTTTGAAGAAACAATGAGGTTATCTTCTGTTAATCCAGGACTCCAGTAGATTCTAGACTACTTCTCAATCATAAAAAGGGACTACTGATACATTCAACAACATGGCTGCATTATAAATGCAGTATGCTAAGTGAAAGAGCTAGATTCACAGCCAAGCATGGTGGCTCGTGCCTGTAATCCCAGCACTCTGGGAGGCTGAGGCTAGCAGATCACTGGAGCCCAGGAGTTCAAGATCAGCCTGGTCAACATGGCAAAACCTCATTCCTACAAAAAAATAGAAAAAAACCAGCTGGGCTTGGTGGATGGGTGCCTGTAGTCCTAGCTACTCAGGAGGCTGAGGTGGGAGGATCACCTGAGCCCAGGAGGTCGAGGCTGCAATGAGCCGAGGTCATGCCACTGCACTCTGGCCTGGGTGACAGTGAGACCCTGTCTCCAAAAAAAAAAAAAAAGATTCACATACCATGATTCCTTTTCCTCCAGAAAAGGCAGAACTACAGGGACAGAATCAGAATGGGGAGGTGAGGGGACTGATTGTAAAAGGGCACATGAGGACTTTTGGGAGTGACAATCATTTCTGTATCTATGCTGCCACCTTCATAGCATATTGGACACCTAAAAAGGGTAGTTTACTGCATAAGTAAATAAGTATGTCTCTGTCAACCCAACATTCGTTTTGGGCCACTTAGAAATGAGCTCCAGAGCTACCTCTTGGAATGTGGACTAGATAAGCTCCGATGTAAAACCTCAACACTAAAACCTATTTCTTTGTAGGATTTCCAACGCAGTTAGGGATGTGATTCCTAAGGAAAGGCATTTGAAAGATGTGAGGGTAAGCATTTAAAGCGGTAGACCTAACATGTCAAATTCCAAACTAACTGAAGGTATCCTAGATGAGGAGGCTTCTCTTTAGAAAGTGAAATCTCAGAATTATGAATTGTGTAATACGTACTAGAGTGGCTGAGTGATACAGGGCTAATTCATCTCTTTTTCACATTATATTTACATTCTGGAATCATTTATTAATCCACCTGGTTACTTTTGAAGAATTTTATGGTTAGACTAATAGATAACAAATTGCTAATCGTTACAGGTATTACAGAGAACCCAGCAGGGCCCTATGGGCAGAGAACAGATAAAGAGCTTATAGACTGGTTGCGGCTGCAAGGAGCCGATGCAAAGACAATTGAAAAGGTAACTTTACAACAAAGAAATTCTTATGCTGTTATTACACAGCTGCTCAGCTCTTAAGGATTTGATCTTTGTTTCAGATTGTTGAAGAGGGTTATACACTTTCTGATATTCTTAATGAGATCACTAAGGAAGATCTAAGATACCTTCGACTACGGTAAGAGCCTCAAAACAGTTTGTAAAAGAGAACACGACTTTTTATGTGTGAATATGCTTAAAGCAGAAAACAAAGGGCTGGGTCTCCCCCCAAACTCTGGAGTTCTGCTAGGTTCAAGCTGGGAAAAAGCCAAGGCATGGCAGAAACTGAAAGCCAGGCAGAAGTCAGAAGTAGGAAGGTGACAGAGAAGAGCTGGCCAATTTCCTGCCATTAATGCCTGGCTGGGAGTGGGGGAAGGCACACAGCAAGCGTGCCTGCATGCTGGACCCACCCCCTTCTTTAAACTGCAACCTGCCTTCTTGTTCTGAGTCATTTGAAATAGCTCTCTGCAGGTACGTACCTCTAAGGCCATGTCCTACCACTGCTGGGACACGAGCGTCACCTCCATATGTGAAGAGAATGTTTTGATTTTCATTAGGTTTTTAAGTTGGGGACTGCATTTTTAAGCTCTGTTGGCTTGAAGCTCTGACTCTGAAGACAGCTCTGTTTGTTTCCTAGGGGTGGTCTCCTCTGCAGGCTCTGGAGTGCAGTCTCCCAGTACAGAAGGGCTCAGGAGGCCTCAGAAACCAAAGATGAGGCTTGATACCAATCAGCTAAGCTGGAGCAGAATGTGCCACCATGCTACATGTTTTGTTAAAGCTTCTGTTAGTGTACACACGAATTCTGCTGTTTACGTATTTAAAAATGCCATTGTTCAATTAATAGTTTAAGAACTTAAGTTTTAAACACTGTCCTGAGTTTCTTTTGAAACCTATTATTTATAAACATAGAACTGTGTGTATTGTGAAAACAGTGAGCCTTAGTTTTGACCTCCCGGAATATTAGGAAATTCACCTGTAGTCCCAGCTACTAGGGAGGCTGAGGTGGGAGGATTGCTTGAGCCCAGGAGATGGAGGCTGCAGTGAGCTGTGATCATGCCACTGCACTCCAGCCTGGGCAACAGAGCCAGACCCTGTCTCAAAAAAAAAAAAAGTACACCCTTTAGCACTTGCTGGAATGGTGAAACAAGGGGTGTTTAACATGGAAGCTGGGACACTGCTTCAGAACTGGTATGGTACTTAAATTTTGAGAAACACAAAATTGATACGAATGTGCCTTGTAGTTAATGTTTGATATGAACAGAAAATAGCTTCATATTTATACTGAATGTGTAAGTAGAGAAAACTAAGTTATGTGGCCTTTGAAATGATTATGAAAGAGTCTTATTTTAAAATGGAACTGTCCTCCTGCCTGATAATAAATATTGTGTCTTACAGAGAAATGATGGTCAGCGCAAACAGGCTGTAGCACCAACGCTGCTCGGAGCGGGTGCTATGGCAGAACACTGTGGGCTGTTACCACAAGCATGCCTGTGAGGGGCCCTGTGATTGATAATGGTCTCCTCCCAAAAAGGTGGCTGGGGGTGGGGGAAACAGGCACACAAGGTATTGTTCTTCCTTTTCATAATTAGAGTATTTGTTCAACTATTTTAAGTCAAAAATAATCTTTAAGCACTCAATAATTAATTTTTTAATGCAACAATGTACAAAGTGCATGCAATTACTACCTGCTCAATCTACACACTTAGTCTTAATGGAAGTTTACAAGAATTTCATTGACTGCGTTTTCTTCCTCCTTAACCAAGTTGAGAACACTGGTAGCCCCCTGAAGGTATAACCTCCCCTTCTAGTCCCCTTAACTGACTGACTTAAACTTGATCCACTGATTGGCACCACGAACTTCGAAAGGTGGGTCGCTGGAGTAGATGTGGTAGCCTAGCTCCTCCAAAGGTGGCTCAGGATCGGCCGTGGCAAACTGGGCAGCATCCTCAATCTCCTTCCTCACTTCCACATCAATTTCCTAAAAATTAGGTAACAGTGTAAAAGGTTTTTGAATGAACAGCAGTTTAGGTACCAACCAGAGTTCTACGGAAGACCTGTTGCTGGTGTAACTCTAAGTATGAACAGCTGCTAATTCAGAAGATTTTGGAATACAGATTTCTGGGGTGTATATTTTTTATGAATTAAAAATCCACAGTATACTTTTAGGTAAAAAGAATTATGCTACTATGCTACTGTGGGGGCTTTGCCACTGTGATGGTGGTTTACAGTCCACCAAAATCTAAAGAGTAATACAATTTTGAATAGAGGAAACTAAAGGAAAAGCCCCCACCCCGAGGAGCTTCGGAATTATTTATGCCCCGGCACATCACTTTCTGGGCTTGGAGGAACCCACACAAACGCTGTGGCCACCCAGGGGGTGGCAACTTTTTCTGTGGGAGGCAAAAAAAGCCAACCTTCAAACCACCACAAACAAGTGACTGTACCTTTAGTTCTTCCACACTGGCAAGATTGCTGTTCACCATCCTGTCCTTGAGAAGCATAATAGGGTCACTCTTACTTCTTACTTCCTGAATTTCTTCTCGTGTACGGTAACTATGGGGAGGGAAAAGTAGTAATCGATCAGTAAGAACAGTTCCAGTAGAGAGAACAGTTCCAGTAGAGCAAGGACAGCATGATGAAATATGACATGGGGTTGGATTGTCCCAATTAGGTGAAATACAGAAGTGTGTTTCTGAAACAAAGGGGCACATCAATGCTATGTCACTATAGGAGTGGCAGAGTTATACTTTCAAAATACCAGAGCACAGCCTAACATTCTGTAAGAACTGCTGCTGTCTTCTAGAAAACCGTACACTGGTAAGTCACATGGCTTCCCTGGCATTCCGACAACAGGGGCCAAGTTTTTGCTTGCTGCTTTGACTTAGACATAAGGGTCTAAAGAAGTGTCACTCATCCCACCCATTTGGGCTCCTGTATACTACATGGGAGGGGACAGCAGAGATGGTGTGTGTGGTGATAGATTTTAAGAGCACCAAGCAGGAAATCCACGTGCCTTGCCTTTCTCCCTTAAGTCCCCCTAAAGAAGCATAGCCAGCAAAACCAATGTATCTTACGCTTACATCATTTGAAGTAACACTAAAAGGATTCTACCATTTTCCACAACAGATTTACACAAAGTTGATCTATTCCATATACTGTGCTCTCTACATGATTTTCCCTTAGAAATCCACTCTACAAAGGCTTATTTATTCAACTGTGTCAACCCTGGGATTCCAGAATTACAGGCCAGAGCTAAGCAGAAAAGTAAAATTCATGCCCTTCTAGTGAAACCTAGCTTTTTTGATTGATGTATTTGAACGGACTGAACACCTAGTTACCCTTAGCTCTATACCAGACAGAAGAACATCTCCAAATTCTGATCCTCCTCAGGTGGAGTATGCCATGCATGGACTTGGGGTAATGCCTACAAAAGCTAAATGCCCCCAAGATACTACACTACCATCGGTCTTGTTTTATGTAACAATTTTCCTGCACAATTAAGGTATATAACACTCTCTAAAAATTGCTGCTCGTGCTCACACACACTATACATTGTAGGCATTTTCAGTAAAGCTTTCTTATTAGGAGGCACTGCTTTCAGGTAACTTGATGCCAACACAACTGCATGCATGAAGTGAACTGGTATCTAGCTCCAAAAGCAAATATTGAAATGTGTTTCTTTTGCCATGTAACACCATTCAAAGCCCACCCCCTCTGGAAACCACACTGCCCATGAGCACACCTGACTCCAGGATCACTCATACTGTGTCCGTGGTAACGATAAGTCTGCAGCTCCATCAGGATGGGCCCCTAAAACAGAAGTGGTAGGCAGTTAGGAACGATGACGGGAAGAGCAGGCTGACACTCCACGGCCTCAGACGCAGGCCCTTTATTAAGCATCCAGTGTATTCTTACCAGATCTTTTGAGGTATCATGGATTTCTTATTGGTTGACTGATCTGTTCTCATTTCTAGCATGTATTGATTGCATATTTCAGTTTTCTCATTTATAATGAGGCAATCTACCAACAGCTTGTTTTGAATCAAAAAGGCTTTGAAGGCCAGGTGTGTTGGCTCATGCCTGTAATCCCAGCACTCTGGGAGGCTGAGGTGGTTAGATCACTTGAGCCCAGGAGTTCGAGATCGAGACCAGCCTGGACAACATGGCAAAACCCCATTTCTACAAAAAACACAAAAATTAGCCAGGCATGGTGGCATGCACCTGTAGTCCCAGCTACTTGGGAGGATCACCTGTGTGGAAGGTCAAGGCTGCAGTGAGCTGTGAGTGTGCCACCGTGCAAGACCCTGTGAAAAAAAAAGGCAGCTGGGTGCGGTGGCTCACGCCTGTAATCCCAGCAGCGGGCGGATCACAAGGTCAGGAGATCAAGACCATCCTGACTAACACGGTGAAACCCCATCTCTACTTAAAATACAAAAAAAAATTAGCCAGGCGTGGTGGCGGGCGCCTGTAGTCCCAGCTACTCGGGAGGCTGAGGCAGGAGAATGGCATGAACCCGGGAGGCGGAGCTTGCAGTGAGCCGAGATCGCACCACTGCACTCCAGCCTGGGGGACAGAGCGAGACTCTGTCTCAAAAAAAGGCTTTGAGCATGTTCTAGAGCCTCCTGCTATTGGCTAGGCAGATTTCCATCTCATGCTCCTTTCTCGTAGTGTGTTGTGGGGCTGGCAGCCACTTCTACTTCACAGATCCTACTAGTGTGTAACAAAGTTGACAGGCACCAACAACCTCTGCTACCCAAACCCTGAGGCTCTGCTGGGAGTCTGACCAGTTGGGGTCTATCACCAAGTGGCTTGCTCATTCTACACTAGCCCACTTCCAGGAGATGGCTCTGAACACTGAGGGATGGGGAAACATTGAGGATCCTTGATTGGTTTGGTGCAGTAGTTAAAATGGGTGAGTGGGGAGCTGGCTCCATGATAAGAGTAGCTATGTACCTTTAACTGCTCTGTGGCTCAGTTTCCTTGTCTGCAAAATGGGCAAAACAGTAACACCTAACTCAGAATTGTGAAGGTTATGTGTTTGGGAAGTCATACATTCTACAAATCACCATGTCTCCAGCCAGGGCTGGCCCCCATGTATTCTTTTCAGGAATTGGGAGAGGTGGGGTCAATATCCATCACTCAGGGCCTGGCACTCCCAGCCTTAGGGTCCTGACATAGACTGCTCAGCCCATTGTATCCAAGCTGTCATCTTGGTCCTGCTCTAGTTCATTCTACTCATTAGCTCTTATTTAATGTTACTACATCCCACCCTTACTTCCCTGTCTCCCCACTTTCTGACATTTGCATCACTGCCCAAACATACATGGTATGGCACTGAAGTGACAACTTCAGAAACCTTGTGTCCGGGCTGTGGAACACTAATTCAGGGAGAACACCCAAACCACCTAAGCCTATACTAGTGCTGAAGGAACTGAAACCTCTTTAGGCCAGTCTCCCTGTTACCATCTCCCTCACTGCCATACACTGAAGGGAAAGATCCTTAGGACTGAGCAAGACTAAGATTACAAGCTTCAACCATACTGTTTGTGTAAGACACACATATTAAATGCCTATTGTATACATGACATTCTATGCTGGACACTACGGGGATCCCCAATCTGTTCCTTCAAGGGACTCATGATTAATGGGGGGTGGGGAGGAGGGACAGAATTAACCTAACAAAAAGGCAGTGTAATTGTCATGATGAAGACAGGCGAAAGCAGAGGAAGCACCAGGACAGACTTCCCCCAAATGAGAGAAATGTGGGCTTCCCAACAGGTGAGCTACCAAGACCAAGCTACCCAAAGGAGCCCTGCTTGCTTCACTCTGCTTCCATCTTGTGCACCTCAATTAGCAGCTACCCACTAACAGCTTCAGCAGGCACACGGGAGGCAGTCTTTGAACTTCCAGAGATAAATGTCATTAGCCCAGAGGCCTTTAGAGCCTTACCTTCCCAGATCTACAATAGGCGGCAGCAAACCTTGTCGCCTCTCGGACGCACAGGATATCCATTCCATCCACCTGTTAATAAACGGGAGGGGCGAAGCATGAATCCAGCTGCCCCAAACCATTTTACTTTCACATCACCTGCTTATGTTTGAGAACGAAACTCTTCAATGTTTCTAAGATTGTCAAGGGTCTGCACAAGGACATACCCCTGGCCTTGGCCCCGGCCCCACCACAGGTGTCCTTACTCTCAGCCCAGGAATGAAATCGCCTCTCTTGTAGTAATCAGTGCTGGCTGCTGCTCTCTCAACAGATGTTCCCATTCCATAGCGATTATTCTCACAGATGAAAATACAAGGTAATTTCCACAAAGCTGCCATGTTGTAAGCTTCAAATATCTGGCCCTGGAAGTAGTTATGAAAAGGGGTTTCATTTGGCTTCTTTCTCTAGGATCCATCATCTGTAACAGCTGCTGCTCTGCCTGGCACAGAAAGCCGCCTCTTCTAAAACCGAGCTTTGGGCCGGGCGCGGTGGCTCAGGCATGTAATCCCAGCACTTTGGGAGGCCGAGGAGGGTGGATCACGAGGTCAGGAGATCAAGACCGTCCTGGCTAACACGGTGAAACCCCGTCTCTACTAAAAATACAAAGTAGCCGGGCATGGTAGCAGGCGCCTGTAGTCCCAGCTACTTGGGAGGCTGAGGCAGGAGAATGGCGGGAACAACCCAGGAGGCAGAGCTTGCAGTGAGCGGAGATCGTGCCACTGCGCTCCAGCCTGGGCAACAGAGCAAGACTCTCTCTCAAAAACAAACAAACAAAAAACAACCAAAAAACCGGGCTTTGGATGGTGAGGGAAAGCGGGGTGGGTGACAGATGAGAAGCAGCAGGCATCATACTCTTGCAACTAAGGAAGATGACAAACCAACTACTACTTGTTTCTTTGGGGCCATGCTAGCAGTAAGGAACACACTGGAAAAAAGATCAGTATGAAATCTATCGGGCCCACTGGATAGTCAGAGTGAACCAGCACCTAAGAATCAGCCTCTAGAACAGGGCTTCACAGAGCACCGGCCACAGACTGGGTATTACTCGGTACCAAGAGAAGCACAAAAACTGAATTAGGACTGAGACGCTATTATCCGAATTTGACACTGCCAGCGCGGACATCCAAGAGAATGGGTCTGTATCATTTTGCAATAGGTTAGGGGAAGTCCTTTACCAAGCACTGATGTAGAGCAAAGGTGAGCTCCTTCACAGGAATGCGCCCCCCTAAGTCTTTTGTGAAACAATGCTAAAAGGTCACTCTCTAATCTGGCCATAAGTCAACTAAATTTGAGCTAGCCATAGGAATTACTATTTCACCTAATAAGCAATAAGCTGCTTCTTTGGAAATTCAACTGTGAATATTAAACACTTTGAAAATAAGACTGTTATTGGGAAGTTAAGAGACATAATTACCTGGTTAGCAGCACCATCGCCATATAAAGTCAGGCAGACCTCATCTTTTCCATTATACTTACAGGCTAGAGCAATCCCAGCGCCCAGGGGCACCTAACATTAAGGACAACCGAGAAAGGAACCATAGAAATCCATGAGGGGAGATATTAATGCCCTGCATTTTAACTCCTGGCCAGAATCTGGCACAGAAATTACACTGCTGCTACAAACTCTCCTTCCAACCCCAACTCTCTGTTTATCCCACCCTCGATATTTTCAATGAAGCAGTAAAGTAATATATAAATACTATGTTCTATTTTAACCAGTAAGCAATAACATTTCTGCATTCAAGAGTTAAAAAATAAAACGTGGCCGGGCGTGGTGGCTCACGCCTGTAATCCCAGCACTTTGGGCAGATCACGAGGTCAAGAGATCGAGACCATCCTGGACAAGATGGTGAAACCCTGCCTCTACTAAAAATATAAAACATGGCTGGGCACGGTGGCGCTTAACTGTAGTCCCAGCTACTTAGGAGGCTGAGGCAGGAGAATTGCTTGAACCCGGGGGTGGAGGTGCCGTGAGCTGAGATCACACCACTGCTCCAGCCTGGGCGGCTTAGTAAGACTCCATTTCAAAAGAAAAAAGGGGAAAAAAAAAGTAGGTTTTTTAAAAAAACACATAATAGAATCTTAATATATTAGGAAAAGAAACAGTTGGGATATAATTTTGTGCTGTTAATTCTTCATCATTCACTAACTGATGAGAACAAGGACTCCATAATGAAGCTGACAAGATAAGCAATGTACTGAAATACAAATAGGAAGGGGAAGGTATGGCTCCACTGCTAGAGGCTCTTGCTTACTTATAAAATAGCAGACACCTAAAAGGAAACATTATAAATCACCATCCAAATCTACTCAACTCATCGCTCAAATGGTAGGATATGAAGCACTAGGTCTTTAAAAGCAAACCAAGCCCCCAAAATACAGTCACGCATCGCTTAACAACAGGGATATATTCTCAGAATTGCATCACTAAGCTATTTTGTCGTGTGAACACCATACTGTAATGCACAAACCTAGAAGGTACAGCCTACTGCACACCTAGGCTGTATGGTAGAGCCTACTGCTCCTAGGCTACAACGCTGCACAGCATGTGACTGTACTGAATCCTGTAGGCAAAATATTTGCATACCTAAACATAGAAAAGGTAATGTGTTGTGCCACTACAACATCACTAGGTGACAGCAATTTTTCAGCTCTATTATAAGTTTATGGGTCCACCATCATATATGCGACATTGACCAAAGTGTCACTGTGCAGCACATGGCTATACTACTTCACGAAAAGTTGTCTGGGGCTGGGAAAGTTTTTGAAGACAAAGGCCAGGGCCAAATCTAAAGCAGCACACAATCCTCGTCCTTGACTACCTGAGCTCCCACGATGCCATTGCCCCCGTAGAAGTTCTTGGCATACATGTGCATCGATCCTCCTTTCCCTTTAGCACAACCTCCTTTTCGTCCTGGAAATGGCAGAACATACACATGTGCAGCACAAACCAACTCTACAAAGCAAACCAAACCACACCCCAAGTGGCTCAACCATTAGAACGCAGAGGCCAATTCAGTCATCTAAGTACCTGTCTCTCCAGGCAAACACGTTTCTGCTTGTCCTTTTACTAGTTCCATGTGCTTCAACCTTTCCAGCTTTTCCTACTCTCCAGTCACTTAGTTTCCTTCAGATGTTAGCAAAAGTCCAGATGGTACCCTAGACTTTTTTGGTTTTTTGACCAGTTACCAACATCTTAGGACCTCTCCTCTACTAGTACACTAAATATATTCAATCCTTGAACAGGGTTTGAACTGCATGGGTACACTTATACAGATTTTTTTTTTCAGCCACACATGGACTGAAAATACAATATTCTCAGGATGCAAACCCGAAGATATGGAAGGCTGACTTCAGGACTTGAGTATTTGAGGATTTTGGTATATTCAAGGGTCCTAGAACCAATCCCCTGGATATATGGAGGGACAACCATAGTTCAAGAGTCAAGGAGGGCCGGGTGCAGTGGCTCACGCCTGTAATCCTAACACTTTGGGAGGTCGAAGTGGGTAGATCACCTGAGGTCAAGAGTTCGAGACCAGCCTGGCCAACATGCTGAAACCTGGTCTCTACTAAAAATACAAAAATTAGCCAGCTGTGGTGGTTTGGCACCTATAATCCTAGCTACTCGGGAGGCTGAGACAGGAGAATTGCTTGAACCTGGGGGATGGAGGTTGCAGTGAGCCAAAATCACACCACTTCACTCCAGCCACTCCAGCCTGGGCAAAAGAGCGAAACTCTGTCTTCAAAACAAAACAAAAAAAAAAAAAATAAGAAGGGCTGGGCACAGTGGCCCACACCTGTAATCCTAGCATTTTGGGAGGCTGAGGCAGGCCACTGCACTCTAGCCTGGGCAACAAAGCGAGACTGTCTCAAAAACACAAAACAGGCCAGGCGTGGTGGCTCATGCTTGTAATCCCAGCACACTTTGTGAGGCCGAGGCAGATAGATCACCTGAGGTCAGGAGTTGGAGACCAGCCTGGCCAACATGGTGAAACCCCATCTCTACTAAAAATACAAAAATTAGCCGGGTGTGGTGGTGCATGCCTGTAGTCCCAGCTACCTGGGAGACTAAGGCATGAGAATTGCTTGAACCTGGGAGGTGGCAGTTGCAGTGAGCTGAGATCACACCACTGCATTCCAGCCTGGACAATAGAGTGAGACACAGTCTCAAAAAAAAAAAAAAAGACCAAAACAAAAAAATAGTCAAGGGAGACAAAGAAAAGGGGAATATTAAGAAGATTTCTAGAATTTACATCGCATACCAAGCTTCAACCCAACTTACTTTTTTATGACTGCTAGACTTCTGCTGGCATGCTTGAATGATAACCAAACCTATTGTGATTTTATAGCACTAACCTGTTTTAAACTTTTACCTGAGGGGCCAGAGAACTTCACAAATGGTCAGTTAACTCAAGAGCACAACAGAAGTACCAGAGCACCAAAGGAGAGAGGGTTAAAAAAAGAAACTTAAAACTTTAAATATTAACTCATAAAATAGCATCTTAATGAGAGATATTTAAAAACTTAATCCACTCATTTCCCCTTTCTGTAAATCAACAGCAAACCTGTAAGCTCTGCGAGAATTTCTCGGACGGAAAGGCCCCGGGTGAAGGTAAAGCCGTGAGCCCGGTAGGCTGTTATGAGATGGTCTGTGGGGTTGATGCCGGCTTCCAGGCCCACACAGCAAGCTTCCTGTTAGAGGAAGGAGAAACTATGAAGCAATACGATACATGTTTCTAAATAAAAACGTTTCCTAGACCGTAGTGAAATATTTGGGCTAGTAGAACCTATCATTAATAACCAGAGAAAGTAGCTATTTTCCACCAAAATACAGAGCGGACGGCCCAAGCCAGAAGCAATAAACTGGCAACCCACACATGGGCCACTTCCTTCCTTTCTCCTGTATGATGACCTAAAAGAAAATCCTACATCAGATGTCAACATTAAAACACTGGGGAATTTCACATGAAAATCCAGACTTCCGCCTTCTCTTGGAGACATGGAAAACAGGAAGCATTACCCCTGATTTCCACATGGCACCAACTGGCTGGAACCAAGTCATGGCATTCCTCTGGGTAGGGCATGCTGGTCCCAGTTCAGCACGAGTCCCTGTCACCATTCTGTTTTGTATACCTAGCCTTCTTCATTCATTTATTCTACCTGGCTGGCCCTTATAGGTATTTGATTCTATAACCCTTGACATAAGCCCACAAAACAAAAAACAAACTAATCCTTTCTCTCCAAATTATATACAGTACAGGTGATCACAGTGCCAGAAAGTTTTAAAATAGTAAAACTCTAAGAACAGGTACAGAAAACTGGCAGTGTTATGTGTGAATGAATTCTTTAGCCTAAGCTTCATAGCAGGTTTTGGTATTCTACTTTTTAATTCTAAAATACTGGCTTCAGCCAGGCACAGTGGCTCACGCCTATAATCCTAGCACCTTGGGAGGCTAAGGTGGGCAGACCACTTGAGCCCAGAAGTTTGAGACCAGCCTGGGCAACACAGTGAGACCCCATCTCTCCAAAAAATACAAAAATTAGCTGGGTCTGGTGGTGTGCACCTGTGGTCCCAGCTACTTGGGAGGCTGAGGTGGGAGGACTGCTTGAGCCCAGGGGGCAGAGGCTGCAGTGAGCCATGATCACACCACTATACCCTAACCTGGGCGACAGAGAGATTGTCTCAAAAAAATAAATAAATAAAAGAAAATTACATTACCAGCCTCAAACTCTTCTGATACATAAGGCAGGGTAAAGCCCAATAAGTACAAGCCATACTTCAGTACCTAAAAACACAGTTCTATCACAAACCTACCACTCACCTGACCATCACACAAGTGACAGAAACCACGAATAATTTTCTGTTTATACAGCTGATCTGCTTTCAACTCCATTCGGCGCACAGTCTGCATCATCCTGTAGTATTTGAGCCCATCCTCCCTGGTGAGCACTGTTGTGACAGGAGGGCCTTCTTCGAGTCGGTGAAGGTCACATTTCTGAAATGGAATAAGGTAGTTATTATCCTCCACATATTACACTGCAAACACTGTTGACCACTCTAAGATCTAATTCCATTGCAAATAATATTGAACTTGAAAAACTGCTAAGGAGCACATTAGTAATGCTTCATATCGCCTCTGTTCCTTAAATCCATAAACCTCACTGTGCAATGAGATGGGGCTTGGGGAAAGGAAATCTTTCTAAGATGATTTTCACTGAAAGCCCCTAGAAGCCAACCCCCTTTGAAGGTTGAAAGAACCTTCAAAGAAACAACTAAGACTCTTCTTATTCAAATATTTCACTGAATTACTTTCTAAACTTTAGAATAAGCTTTTATTTTTATTTTCTAGCTCCTCCCCCTACCCCCCACAGAACAACAGCAAGCTGCTACTAATAAATTCTAGTTTTCGTGAAGCTTCTCTGAACCTCTGATCCTGAACGTTTAGAAGAAAATGACTGAACATGTTCTATTCTAAAAGTAAAACTGTATATCAGAGTGTACCTGTGAAAAAATTATTAACAAAGTAAAACACCTCTTACCTTAATTTCAAATGTAGCATCATTTGCAAAATTACGGGATGCTACCAGCACTCTGCTTGCCTTAAAAGACAAAAATATACAAACAAATCAGTACTTTTTAATTGTCAGTTATTTTGGAAAGTATAACTATTAATCAGTTATCAGGATGAAGTTATGGAAATTTAATAAGCCCCAACGTACTCATAGGCTTCTCTTCCACCCTGTGCACTGTGTTTGCATCTTTCTTAGCCTCCAAAATGAATTCATGCTTTGGCCAATGAAACATGATCATCCCGCCATCTGAAGGCAAGCAGTGCAAAGAGGGGCAAAAACCAAACCCATCCTTTGTTTTCAAAGAAATTATAGTTGAGAATATAATGAAATTAGTGGCTAAAGAGACTAGATCATCTGTGAGCTGTGTTTGTTTATGCCATTCTTTTGTTTGTTTGTTTTGAGACAGAGTTTTGCTTTTATCACCCAGGCTGGAGTGCAGTGGCGCAATCTTGGCTCACTGCAACCTCCACCTCCCGGGTTCAAGTGATTCTTCTGTCTCAGTCACCCGAATAGCTGGGATTACAGGCACCCACAACCACGCCCGGCCAATTTTTGTATTTTTAGTAGAGACAGGGTTTCACCATGTTGGCCAGGCTGGTCTCCAACTCCTGACCTCTGGTGATCCACCTGCCTTGGCCTCCCAAAGTGCTGGAATTGCAGGCGTGAGCCACCGTGTCCGACCTGTTCATGCCATTCTAGTCATAACCAGATACTGTTCATTTTGAGCAAGCCAAAATTATACTTCAAATAAAACTATGATTTAATCCCCACTCCAAAGTTGACTCTTCTATCAAATTGGATCTGTAAGAAAAAATATTTTAAATTGATTGAAGTATGAGATAAATACATTAGGGAGACAAGACAAAAGAAAAGATACTTAGCACTCTCTGACTTAAACACAATGTGTTTGAGCCAGCTGTTTTATAATTTATAATTCGAACAGCCTAAATCTTGGGTAGGCTCCTCCTGAAGCCCCAGTAGAAAGAAACGTTCTCTAAAACACTGTTCTCTTGACGTTTGGGTGGCTGTCACTGTTTGGAGGTAAAAAGCTTGGGAGGAGGCAAGAAATGATTCCTTTCCAGTTTTACAATTGAGCAAACCTGCTCACAGCAAAAGTATTCTATGTAATGGGTAAGGTTTAGGTTAGATGACAGTATTTATCCAGTTAGTATTATCGTACTATTTTAACTCCCTTCTGCCATATTCTCACACACTGACATGTAAACCAACATGATTTCTCCATAAAAAGCACATCTGATGTGTTCATACTTTACGTAATCCAGCAGTGGACTGGATCTTGGTGAGAAGAGTTAAGACTGATCTGCCAAGTATATGCTGGGGTGTACAAGCCAATAGGCAGAAAGCTAATTACATATCTCTTCATCCCTCAATAGACCATTATAGGACAAAGCCAACAAACACAGACAATGACAGTGCTGGAGGAAAACAACTGAAATACTAAGAATCAGTGTTTCAGTTAACTTACAGACAAAGACAGTCCACTAATGTATCTCAGAAAAACTGAAGGGAATTTAGGAAGAAGTAAAGCTGAGAGAGGGTGAAACAGCAAATCAATGGTTATATTTGGCAATCATCAAACAGATGTGTTATTCTTGGCAACTAATAAATTATTTTGTGGGGCCAGAAATGTACTGTATTGAGAAATAAATTTCCAAATACAACTACAGAAACTGCAGTTTTTGGAAGGCAGGAGTCCAAATCAGCCAGGAAACAGTAACAGAGGAAAGGTAACTTCTTTCTCAATCCTAGAGTTGAAACAATGAGGCAGGATAATGCTATACAATAAAGAGCAAGAAGGGGCCCAGTGCTGTGGCACGCACCCGTAATCTTGTGCCTGCAAAGATTAGGACTGCCAGAAAGCTACTTAGATACGTTCTCCCCTGGCTTCATTATTGTGTATCTCAAAAATAAGAACCACTGATATGAGTGAAAGGAGCAAAGTTAAAGAAGCTAAAAGTCCTATCAGAAGTGTGAGTGTATCGTAGTTTCTGAGAGCTTGTTGAAAAGATAAGTTTACTATTCATTTTCTCTGGAGAGTCATAAAAAGATTCTCTGTTAAATGGGATTCCTCTCTGACAGAGACCACGAACCACCCATTCAAATTTTAAAAAATAAAAATTAGGCCGGGCATGGTGGCTCATGCCTATAATCCCCAGCACTTTGGGAGGCCAAGGTGGGAGGATCACTTGAGGCCACGAGTTCAAAGCCAGCCTGGGAAACATAATGAGACTCTCATCTCTACAAAAATAAATATTAAAAAATTAGTCACGTGTGGTGGCGCACATCTGAGGCTACAGTGAGCTATGATTGTGCCACTGCAGTCCAGCCTAAAAAAAATTAATTTAAAAAAAGTAAAACTTTAACTTCCTAAATACATAGGAATCATTCATGTGAAAGAGGAAAAATGTTTCAAAAATTCCATATTCTAACAGTGTAAATTAAAACTCTTACCTACCACTTATAAAGCCAAAACACAGTAAAGATCTCAAAAAAAGTCATACAGAAATGCAAATAATAAAACAAAGAATAACATTTTAAATGCAATTCAGTCTTCTTCCATGAAATAAGAACTATGAAAACTACAGACCTTTTTCAAAAATGAAAACACAATCTTGAAATTCATTTCAAAGTTTCACAACACACACTCTTTGATGAGACAATGGCAATCTTTAAACCTGAGATGAATCTCCCCACCTGCCTGGTTTTAAGAGAGTGAGAGTAATCCCAGCACTTTGGGAGGCCCAGGTGGGAGGACTGCTTGAGTCTGGAGATGGAGACCAGACTGGGCAACATAGCGAAACCATGCCTCTACTAAAAAAATTTCTTTTTTTTAAATTGGCTGGGTGTGATGGTGGCGCACGCCTATGTTCCCAGCTACTCAGGAGGCTAAGGTAGGAGGATTGCTCGAGCCCGGCAGGCTGAGGCTGCAGTGAGCTGTCATCATGCTACTGCACTCCAGCCTGGGTGACAAAGAGACTCTATCTCAAACAAAACAAAAATACCAGGGAGAATAAAAAATGAAAAAGGAAAAAACGCACAGCATCTTGGGAGGTTAAGGGGATTAACTTGTGTCACAGCCATCAGACCAGCTGCCTAAACTTATCCCTCCCTTCATGGAGTATCACACAGATGGTAGGAATCTAGTTCAGTAAGTCTGCCTAATTTGGGTGAGCCACTGCTTATTGTTTACTGTCAGGATTTTTGTGAAAGGCTTATATACAAAATGTCTTTTTACATGTATGATATAAAAAATTAAAACCTTGATTTATCTTGTTACTTAGAGTTAAGTAAAAAGACATCCATAAGTATGAAGAATTACAAAAAACAAAGAGTCAACACGTTAATTATTCCACCCTTTAAAAACATAAAGGTGAAACTTTTAGTTCTACCCTTAAAAGCTTCAGGAATTGTTCCTAATTAGTCCACGACAAGCTGAGTGACACAGAAAACTTCCTATCTGAAGAGTTTACACCACTAAGTGGAAAGATATCTGGGCACTTTCTAAGGTGACTTCATATCTGGAATTCAATTTTCTTCCTACTGTAAGGTGGGGGCGGGGGGAGACCCTGCAAACTGATAGAGGAAACGATAAACCTGACTTGCAGAAGAACTAATAAACCTACATCGGGGTGCCTAAAGGAAGGATGTTTCTAAGCCCGTAACTACCGTTACAGCCCTCTACCCACAGATATCCCCAAAGGGAATGACTTTTTTTTTTTTTTTTTTTAAAACACGGAGTCTTGCTCTTGTCGCCCAGGCTGTAGCGTAATGGCACTCACTGCAAACTCCGCCTCCCGAGCTCAGGCTATTCTCCTGCCTCAGCCTCCAGAGTAGCTGGGATTACAGGAACCCGCCACCATGCCCAGCTAATTTTGTATTTTTAGTAGAGACAGGGTTTCACCACATTGGCCAGGCTGATCTCCAACTTCTGACCTCAGGTGATCCACCCGCCTCAGCCTCCCAAAGTGCTGGTATTACAGGCTTGAGCCACCGCACCCGGCAGTTCTGTCATTATTTTAGGCAACAGGATTCCTAGAGGGGCATACCTCTTACCTTTGACAATCTCTGCCTGTACTTAGAGCTGTATCAAGTCCTGGGGGAATTACCAGACTCCCGAGGCCTGCAGTTACACCAATTAACACGACCTCACTGTGCCTAGGGGTCAGAATGCTAGAAGCTTAGGTGTTAGGCACCTCTAAATGCTGAGGCCATGAAATAGTGCTGGACTCTACCCCCCACCCCTCAAGCATCGTTGCTGTTTGCTTTAGCTACTTGTACCCCAAGAATGTGTAGGTAAGGGGAGGGGAGGGCAGCGTCCTCTGAGTTCTGCTTCCGCACTCCTGAACTCACTGTCAAGAAAAGCTCAGATGTTGAGGGAGAGGGAAGGGGTTGAAGTTTGTTTCTGAAGAGGCTGACCCTCTGTGAACCCGCCTCAGAACTGTGCACAGGTGTTCAAGAAATGTATACCGAACGGGACACTCAATAAATAACACTATTCAACACACATGCTATCGATTATGTGCCGGGTGCTATTTGGAATCGTATCCACACGTGTCACTCGTTGAATCCTCAAGACAATCCCAAGACAACTCTAAAACTCCATTTTAGAGTTAACTGATAACATTTTAATAACCGATAACATTTCAGAGATAACTCTTATCTCCATTTAGAGATTAACTCCACTTAGCGCAAACATTTCAGGAAACCGGGTCCCCGGGAAGTTTAAAAACTTGCTCAAGGTCACAGGGTTAGTCAATGGTGAGGGTGCTGTTTGAACGGAGCCACTCCGTCTCCAGATTCTACGCTATTACAAAGCCTCTCGGTCAAGAGAAATTAAGTTAGGAAGATCTGAAATGAGCAGGGTCAATCGGAGACTCGAAGGAGGCCGAGGCCACCCTTTCCGAGTCCTGTAAACCAACAGGCACCTCTTGCGCACACTGACTTCGCCCGGCGCACAGCTGGGCCCGGCGGCGGCAGCGGGGTGTCGAGAAGGGGGAAGTCCACAGGGACCTTGGCAGGATCCCGGTCCGCGTCGCTTCTGCTGAGGCCAGGAACGGAAAGCAGGGGGTGGGGGCGAAGTAAAGGCTCCCCGGCTCCCCTAGCTCCTTCTACCCCGCTCTGGGTGGCCCGGCCCGGCCCGGCCCGCCCTCCGGCCCGGCCCGCCCTCCGGCCCCGCCTCAGCCCCGCTCGCGCCCCACCCCGGCCGCCCAGGAGGTCTCACCGGTTTCTGAGAAGCGCCAGACAACACGCGGGAGACGGCGGCGAGCATCTTCCTCATGAAGCACAGGCACTGGCGGCAGCGGCGACTCCTCACAGCCCAAGAGGCACGACGAGGGTGTCCCAAAGTCTCCTTCAGGTGCCCCAGCAGACGCCACGCCTCAGTCGCAGCGCGACGTGACAGAGTCATAATAACGTCATGCGCTGCGCCGGGCCACGGGCCAACCAGAACGGCGTCCAGGGGTGCCCCGCCCCCGCTAAAGGCCTCCGGCTGCCCATTGGGTATCAGAGCCAGAGAGGGAGGGGCTGAGCGCTCTTTCCGACGCCACGCGGCGGGCGGGTGAGGAGGCGGGACCTGAGGGCGCCTGCGTGGGAAGGTGGGGCCCCGCCTCCAGGGCGCCGTGGGAAAGGCGCCTTCCTAGATTTCGCACTGCAGCGCCCGGTCCTACCGAGCGCCTAGTCCTGCCGGTGCTGCAGCTCTGCAGCCCTCGCTCAGTACACGAGATGATGAAGATTAGCAGCATGCTCAGAGCCAAAAGACAGAACACCTGGTTTCTGTAAATGGTCTGCCACTAACTTGTCTTTAAAAGATCACGTAGCAGTTGGAAAATTCTGCCCTGTCTACTTGAACGCGGATCAAAAAATTTGTTTCCCAATATATGTCGAGAGGTCAATGGGAAAAATCTTTTTTCTCTAGTTATTGGTTCACTGCGAGTTAACAGCGTGGCTCAGCCAATGATGAAAGCACACACAGAGACAAACACCAAAGCAACAAGAGGCTCTATTCAGAGGATCAAAGGGCACAGGAACCCATTCTGTTGTGCCCTAGTGGGATTGCACCTGGGGTTCACATTTGGGCTCCACATTTTAAGGAGGATAATGACTAAGCTGAGTGGAATCCAGGGGACAGTGGTCAGAATGGTGAGGGGCTGAGACTGTGACTTATGAAGAACGATTAAAGAAGTTAGGAAGAAAACAGGCTAACTAGAATTGGCTAGGTTATGATGTGGTAACAACTGACCTCCAAATTTCAGTCACTTGAGGAATTTTAAGTGGCACGAGCCATCGTGCTCATAACACAGGTCCTTCGCAGCGTGGCACCCTCTCTGTGGAACTTAGCTTGTCTCATGGATGAAGGGAAAAGGGATCATTTAAACCGGCTCTCAAAGCTTCTGTCCAGAAGTGACACATGTCACTTCCTCTCAATTTTCACAGACCAGAGCTAGTTACCCGACCATGTCTGGGTTCCACAAGGTGAAATATAATCCTGCCAGGAGGAGAACAGAAAATTGAATGAACAATAAAACCAGAGAGGATTGGATATGTCTTCACACATTTTCAGGCCAGTCATGTTACAGGAGGAAGAGCTATTGTGTGTGTGTGTGTGTGTGTGTGTGTGTGTGTGTGTGTGAATAAAATCCTTTCATTTCAGCATAACAATGAATTTTCTAACAATGACAATGGTCCAAGGAGATAATTCTCCCCCAGTGTCACTGAAAGTATTCAAAGCAGAAGTTCAAAGCATGACCAGCTCTCGGCATAGCTAGAGAAAGAATTTGGGCACTGGGTCAGACCCTGGACTGAGAGATCGTGTTGAGTCCTTCCAACTTGATGACCAGGTTGTAGTGGAAGAAAACTTCTTAAAAGAGTCAGAGGGCGCCATTAAAAGGCAGAGATGGATGTGAGAAACTTGCACGGTATGATTTCAGCAGCTGCTGCTGCTGATAGAATATGAAAGGTAAAAGAGAATGAAAAGGTTGGAGGCCAGATGTCCAGCTCAGGAGAAAAAGCTGGTCTGAATGGTTTGGGACATGTTGACCTTGTGGTGGCGGTGGCACAGCTATCTGAAGATGTCTCCCGGGAGGTTGGAGTTGTAAGTCTGGAACATATGCTAAAAATATTAATTTGGGAGTCATCTCCATGGGGTGGTGATATTGGTTGTGCATGTCCGGGAACTCTGTAGGCCACATACGGATACAAATTCATGCATTCATTCGCTCATTCATCCAACACCTATTATTGAGCACCGATTATGTGTCAGACACTGTACTACACACTGAAGATATAGCAAGGAACAAATAAAATATAGGTCCTACTGAAATACATGATTGAACAAATCAATGGGTTTGAAGGAACAACTTTTCCTTACAGTAGAATTCCAATTAATTAATATAGAAGGAATGATGAAAATAGAAAAAGAAAATCACCATTTGGCAAAGACCACAGTAACTGTTGCAGGTGAGAATTATCATCAATAGAGGCTAAAGTTAGTGGGTAAATGTATGATGAGAAACAGGACATTTGCATCATCTCAAATGATCTCGATTAGATTCATTACAAAGTTTAAAGTAGTAACTTTGCAGTGCAGAAACAAAGTAACCCATTTTTCAATGACTAGGATATTTTCTCTGCATTTCTTGTTTTCCATATATATATATATTATTATTATTATTATTATTTTGAGACAGAGTCTCGCTCTGTCGCCCAGGCTGGAGTGCAGTGGCGCAATCTCGGCTCACTACAAGCTCTGCCCCCGGGTTCACACCATTCTCCTGCCTCAGCCTCCTGAGTAGCTGGGACTACAGGCGCATGCCACCACACCGGGCTTTTTGTATTTTTAGTAGAGATGGGGTTTCACCGTGTTAGACCGTATGGTCTTGATCTCCTGACCTCGTGATATGCCCGTCTTGGCCTCTGAAAGTGCTGGGATTACAGGTGTGAGCCACCGCGCCTGGCCTCTTTTTTTTTTTTTTGACAGATTCTCATTCTGTTGCCCAGGATGGAGTACAGTGGTGACATCTTGGCTCACTGCAACACCTGAGTCCCGGGTTCAAGCGATACTCCTCACTCAACCTCCCGAGTAGCTGGGAAAACAGGTGAGTACCACTATGCCCGACTAATTTTGTATATTTTTAGTAGAGACGGGGTTTCACCATGTTGGCCAGGATGGTCTCAAACTCCTGACCTCAGGTGATCTGCCCACCTCGGCCTCCCAAAGTGCTGGGATTACAGGTGTGAGCCACCACGCCCAGCTGTTTTCAGATATTTCAAAGCGGAGTTGGAAGCAACTTTGAAGGTGAGGGACACTTTGAGATGCTGTGTCAAGTGGTGACAGGTGATGATTGTGGTTAATAGTCATTAACTATAGGCTATAGTAACGTTATAGTCATTAACTCTAGGCTATAGTAACTATAGGCTATAGTAACGCGCTAGAACATTCGCAAAAGACTCTTGTATCAGGAGAGGAGGTCAGAGAGAAAGAAAGAGTTGCAAAAGGCAGGAAGAGAAAGTCTTAAGAAAGGAGGGCTCATTAATCTTGGGGGAAATTGTAATCCCAGCACTTTGGGAGACCAAGGCAGGAGGATCGCTTGAGGCCAGGAGTTTGAGGCCAGCCTGGGCCACAAAGTGATACCCGTCTCTACAAAAAATAAAATAATTAGTCTGGTATGGTGTTGCATGCCTGTAGTCCCAGCTACTAGGGATGCTGAGGAGGGAGGATTACTTGAGCCTAGGAGTTTGAGGCAGCAGTAAGCTATGGCTGCACCGCTGCACTGCAGCCTGGGTGACAGGGCAAGACCACATCTCTCTAAAAAACAAAACAAAAAAAACTTATCTGGGTGAAGCAGGGCAATTTTGATTAGAGACCCTGTAATATGCCTTTTGACCTTTCGTTAGCAAATCACCCTAAAAGTATTCGATCAAGCTGAGCTTTAAGGCAAATCATGCTCCTTAACATGTCTCTGGTTTTCTAGTAGGAAACGCCCATCCCCCAGCAGATGAATTAGAATAGGACAATCTCATATATATGTCATAAAAGTCAACAAATATTTTCGAATGTCTTTGATGTACTAAGCACCAGCTGGTGAAGGGATTATGGCTAGGGGCGATTTTAACTTTGGAACCGTATAAATGTTTTTACACAACCATAAAACACAATGAAATAAATATTGAAATGAAATACAACAAATCAATTTAATGACATATCAAGTGGTTGGCATAACCCCGCAGAGAATGATCTCAAGTTATTTAACACCACAGCAATGTGACTGCATATACTTGGTGGGGTATAGCCTAAAGACAAAAGGAACTGGAAAAAAAATCTTAAGGCAAGGCTCACACCTGTAATCCCAGCACGTTGGGAGACTGAGGTGGGAGGGTCATTTGAACCCAGGAGTTCTAGACCAGCCTAGGCAACACAGGGAGACCCCATCTCTACAGAAAAAAATCTTAAATTGTTCTCATTTGTCAGGTGTTATTATTATTTGACTGCACATACCCACACTGATAAAGTAAATATATAATTATGTTAATGCCACTGGGAACCAAGATTTTCAGTATAAAAGACAGAGACACAAATGTAAAATTCAACAAGTCAAAGCCTAGTGGTCCTGAATTTGAATTGGAAATACCAGTATAAACTCATGATTATTTCCCCCTTTCAAGATATATATCTTGGCCAGGCACGGTGGCTCACACTTGTAATCCCAGTACTTTAGGAGGCCAAGGTGCGCTGATCACTTGAGCTCAGGAGTTCAAGACCAGCCTGGGCAACATGGTAAGGCCCTGTCTCTACACAATATAAAAAATTAGCCGGCCATGGTGGTGCGTACCAGCAGTCCCAGCTACTAGGGAGGCCAAGGTAGGAGAATCACCTGTGCCTGGGAAGTGGAGGCTGCAGTGAGCCATCATCGTGCCAGTGCACTCTAGCCTGAGCAACAGAATGAGACTGTGTCTCAAAGCAGAAATGATGTGCGTGCGTGCGTGCGTGTGTGTGTGTGTGTGTGTGTGTGTCTTAACTCTGTCGACTGGAAAGACCTAGAAGCAAAGACCAGCCCAATAGTAATTATTCTGAAATCTGGCAAAGGGAAAGAACCGAGGACTTATTCTGCCTTTCTTACATAGACTGAATTTCAATGTCAACAAATAGTTGATGAGGAATAGTTCTTTATAGAACAATTTCCAGCGGTAAATAAAAAAGGAACCATATAATTTTAATATCCTTGTGTTGTAACCCCTGAGGAATTACTAGATCAAGCTGTTGGGGGACTTTGTAATGTTTGAGTGGCTTTAACAAAATACCTGAGACTGGGTAACTTATAAACAACAAACACTGATTGGGCGTGATGTCTCATACCTGTAATCTTAGCACTTTCCAAGGCTGAGGCAGGTGGATCGCTTGAGCC